TCCCAACTAGGTAGTAGCCTCTCTTTCCTCCATGTTGAACCTGGCTCCTCTTAACATAGAGGGGCTTTGGACCTAGAGGTGTAAATTGGTCCGGGCTGCTTGTGGACTGGCACGATTTTCGACTGGCCCAGTATGGCACGACTGCATGTGCCATTCCGCCCATGGCCTGTATGCCGGCACGGCCCACCAGGCCCGTAATGGGCCGCACTTGACCCACCCGGGAATATAGCTGTTGGGACTTCAACTTTTGGGGGGTTTATAGAAATATCCCCCCCCCCCCCCAACAGCTATAAACAGCCATATTAGGGGGGGTGTTTTCGTATTTTGCTTATGAGGGTTGAAAAATGACATAAATGCCCCCCAATAGCTATATAACAACTAGTTTAGGGGGCATTTTGGGTAAAGTTATAAGTAACTTTATAATGATCAAAATACCCCTCCCAATAACTAAATAACAGATAGCTTTTTGAGTATTTTGGGCAATTGATTTATGTTCAATTCCTATAAATAGCTCTATCTTCCACCATTCTCATCACACCAATTCAACAATTCTCTTAATTCTCTCTCTCTCTCATACTCATACATTCTCAATTATCTGCAATCTGAGAAATTCTGATTATCTGATTGTTTGATTTTATATTCTCCAATTCTCAAGTCTCAACTTTATCAAAGTTGAGACTTTCAACAAGAAGAAAGCTTGTTCAACCAGCTCAAGTATCTCAATTCGAGAGGCTTGGACGTTAAAATCAAGTTGGGATTTTGAACTGACAATCCGAGTAATTCGAATTAGATTAATTTTTATCTTTTTAGGATTAAAAAGAAAATGGCCAGCCCTTCTCAAAACCAATTCCCCAACATGTTCACCATGGATGACATTCAATCGCATCACGATAGTATTAGTGTTAACACTGATGCCGATGCGTTTGATGTCGATAGAAGTGGAACTTTCACCCCCAGTAGTAGTGATACTAAGGGAAAAAGGAGGGCTTCTAAAATGAGTAGCCCGGTTTGGAAATTTTTCAAAGTAGAGGATATTGAGAAGGGGAAAAGGGCCATTTGCCAAAAATGTAGGAAAGATTTTAGTTATTGTAGCAAGGGTGGTACGAGTCATTTGAGCAGACATCTTCTCACACATGAATGAGAGGAAGATGAAGGGAGAGAAACAACCCAAACACAGGTTGGGAGGGGGACTAGTTTTGGTACTTTTAAATATTCACAAGAAAAAATGAGACAAGAACTTGCTAAGTATATTGTACATGCAGAACAACCATTTATGTTAGTTGAAGATCCAAAGCTACAAAAATGGTTGCGTAATTCTATAAACCCACAATATAAAAAAGTTTTTAGGAATACTATAAGAATTGGTACTTTAAAAATTTTTTATTCATATAAACAAAATTTAATTTCTTTGTTAGCAAATCTTAATTTTAAAGTTGCAATTATTTCGGATGTTTGGACACCCAAATTTAATATTAGTTATATTTGTGTCACCGACCATTTTATTAATGAAAATTGGCTTTTGAATAAAAGAATTTTAAGTTTTACTAGGCTTGAATGGCCACATAGTGGCCCAGCTATTGCTGCAAGTATTTTAAATACTTTGCATKCTTATGGAAGTTTTGATAATGGTAGCAATAATGATTATGCAATAAATATTTTAAAATCTCAATTAAAACCATGCTTAAATGGTAAATTATTTCATATTAGATGTGCATGTCACAT